CGCTCGCGTGGTTGTGTAAAAGACTGCCGCTCCTTTGGGAGTACCGATCTGGACTCTGACCATGCCTTGGTCTGCGCCAATCTTCCCTTACTTTTCAGTGGACAACGAAGTGTCCGCCATCATAGGATTGATATTAGCAAGCTGGTTGCAACTTCTGTTGCAAACAAGTATCGAACCGAGCTAGCTTCTAGCCTGGCTACCACTCCACGGAAAAGCATAGATGAGCATTGGTCGCAACTTCATGACACCATGAACATGGCAAGTAAAGCCGCTTGCGGCTTCGCGAAACGTCCCGCTTATAAACACTGGGTTTCTTCTGGTTCCTTACAACTTATTGAAGCCCGTCGGTCTACTCCGGGTGACCGTGAGTTTGACCATAAACGAAGGATGTTACGTAAGGAAATTGGGCAAAGCTTGCGTAAGGACCGAGAAGCTTGGTGGTCGGAGCGTGCTAATGAGCTGGAAGCAGCAGCTGCATCTGGTAACTACCGGAAGCTCTTCCAGCTCATCCGAACCACTGGCAGCAAGAAGTCTGGTGTGAGTGAAACAATCTGCGAGGATGATGGGATGCCAATCACTAACATCCATCGCCGTCTTGGACGATGGGCAAAATTTTTCGAAGGGCAGTTCAACTAGCCTGCTGCTCCGGCAACATCGGTCAGACTGTCCTGCCCTCCATGGCCGGTGACGACTGATCCGCCAAACGAGGAGGAAGTCCGCAAGGAACTCCAACTCTTGAAGCGCTACAAATCACCTGGCCCAGATAACTTACCTCCGGCTCTTTTCAAAGATGGTGGCGACTTTTTCACTAAGGAATCGACGACGTTGTTTACAAAGGTTTGGGAGCTAGAGAGTGTACCAACGTCATGGAATGAGTCGATAGTTGTCCCTATCCTTAAAAAGGGTTCACGTCGTTCATGTAACAACTATCGGGGGATAAGTCTACTTCTGATTGCGTTCAAGCTATTGGCTTCCGTCATACCTCGTAGGTTGTTCAAAACCCGAGAAAGATTGACTCGTGAGGAGCAGGCTGGGTTTCGTTCTGGTCGAGGATGTATTGATCATATCTTCACCCTCCGCCAAATGTTAGAACACCGCCATACTTATCAAAGGCCAACAATCGTAGTGTTTCTTGACATCAGGGCTGCCTTCGATTCGTTGGACAGGACTGTTCTCTGAGATTGTCTATTGAAGAAGGGTGTGCCTGAGAAGTTTATGAACATCCTAAAAGCCCTATATACAAACACCTCAGGCAGAGTGAGGGCATACAACCACCTCTCTCCATTGTTCCATTCGAGTAGTGGGGTTAGGCAGGGTTGCCCAATCTCACCATTCCTCTTCAACTTTGCCATCGATGACATTCTGGAAACAGCTCTGATGGATGTAAGTAATGGTGGTGTGGATCTGTTGCCTGGAGAAAGACTTCTCGACCTTGAGTATGCGGACGATATTGTCTTACTGTGCGATAATGCCCAAGGTATGCAATCCGCACTTAATCAATTGGCAATCAGTGTCCGTAGGTATGGTATGTACTTTGCACCTTCGAAGTGCAAAGTACTTCTACAAGACTGGCAGGATTCCAATCCTGTACTCACCCTGGATGGTGAGAAGATAGACGTAGTCGAGAAGTTCGTGTATCTGGGTAGCTACATAAGTGCTGGTGGGGGTGTGAGTGATGAGATCAGTGCACATATAGTGAAAGCCAGAGCGGCTTATGCCAATCTGGGCCATCTTTGGCGCCTTCGTGATGTTAGTCTGGCTGTAAAAGGTCGGATCTACAACGCGTCGGTGAGAGCAGTTTTGCTCTGTGCTTGTGAAACCTGGCCTCTCCGAGTTGAGGACGTTAGACGACTCTCTGTGTTTGATCATCGTTGTCTCCGAAGGATTGCTGACATCCAGTGCCAACACCATATCAGTAATGCAGAGGTTCGGCATCGTGTCTTCGGGCACAGAAATGATAATGCAATCGATGTCACCAACTTGAAACACCGACTTCGGTGGCTTCGACATGTTCTCCGAATGTCGTCCCAGAGAATTCCACGTCGTGCATTATTTGCCGACTCTGGGACTGGTTGGAAGAAGCGGAGAGGTGGTCAGTGCATGACATGGTGTCGTGGTATGAAAGAAAGCTGCAAAGGACTGGCTTCTGTCGGTCCTTCACGACTCCCTGGTTGGGGTCTGAGAGATGGTGCTACACAGTGGCTAGAGACGTTGTCAGATATGGCTCAGAATAGAAGCCAGTGGCGATCCTGCTGTAACCTTCCTTTACTTTCCTCGCAAAAAGTGGTTGTGTCTCCCTTAACTGAAAGATTTCTTCTGATTGTACCTTTCCGTTACCCCATTATTATTATTATTATTATTATTATTATTATTATTATTATTATTATTGTTGTTGTTGTTGTTGTTGTTATTATTATTATTATTATTATTATTTATATTATTATTATTATTATTATTATTATTATTATTATTATTATTATTATTAATTACACTAACTTACATCAATCTCTTTCTTACTGTTCTCTTTTTTTAACACTCCTTACATTTCTTCTTTTTCCTTCTCTTTAAATTCTCATTGTTTTGTGTGGCGCATATATATTTGGCGCACTCTTGTACCAGTCAGATGGGATTTCGTCTAACTCCCAGTTTTAGCTAAAATATTAGTCAACCTAATCGCTGTAATTGGACCACCATCCTTAAAGACCTCTGGAGCCAAACCAACTGCTCTTCCTCGTTTGAGATTAGCTATGGCTTTTTGAACTTGAATGAGAGTCAGAGGGCCTACTTCAGTGTTCCATTCACGCTGTTTGTGAATGGTGGATAACTGTAGAGTAGCTGAAGTGCTCCTTAAAGTGTTCTGCCCATCGTTCTAGACGTCTGGACTGCGAGCAAATAAGAGTGTCGTCTTTTTGCGAGATAGTCTCACTTACACTTGACTTTTATTTCCAGTTTCTTTCATAAATCTGAGGAGCTGTCTTGTGTTACCTATAGCCACCGTATTTTCCACCTCTTTTGCTTTCGTTGCCGACCACTGTTCACGGCCGTTCCTTAGACTTTTGGTTAACCTAGATCTGATTTACTTTCGCTCATCATCGTGTTCTGAGCCTGATAGGATGAGTTTACGAGAATCCATCAGTGCAATAGACCTTGAAGAAATCCATTGATTTTTTGTAACTCTTTGGTTTAAATCACTAACAGATGTCACTTCTGTTTGTATACCTTTCCAAGCAACATCTGGGTCAGCCTCGGTTTCGAAATTGCCCAAGTGTGACTTCAGTTGTTCCTGAAATGTACCTTTGGCCTTCTAATCGTTGAGTTCAACTCCAATAGGTCTTCTTAATGTGTGTTTTCTGTGTCCAGTGAGGCGCAAGTAGTTGCGCGCCCGTATTAGAGCATGGTCGAAGTCCAAGCAGGTATTCCAGAACGAGTGTCAGTCTTCTATCGACCCTCTCCAACGACGACTGATGACAATATGGTCTATTTGAGTCCATCGTTGGTCTGGTGTAGGGGGTCGCCATGTTAGACTATGTTTCTTCTTATGCTTAAAATTAGTGCTTACTAAAAATAAACGATTGTCTGAGCATAGTTGCAGCAGACCATCATCATTACCTGTTTGCTGAGCCGGAATACTAAAGTACCCACCTAAGTGTCTTTCTGTTTGGTTTAAGCTACCTACTTGGGCATTAAAGTCACCTGCTACAAATACTATGTGTGAGCGTTTAGCTTAATGAAGAAGTTCATAAAGCTTTCTGTAAACTTCATCTTTCACTTCATCACGGCTGCAGTCAGTGGGAGCGTAGGCAGAAACCGCAAAAAGGCAACGACGTGTGTCCCTATCCTTCCGAGTTCTTACGGAGCCGTTTAGCCGAACAGTATATAGACGACTGTTAACGGGGATCCACTCTAATAGTGCTTGTTCTGCCCTCGTACTTAATGCTATGCCTACACCTGCCAGTCCACGAGAACTAGCTATCGGGTCGCCATATACATGGAGGGTGTATATCGTCGGCTCTCCGTTTTGGCGAGGGGAGGTCAAGTGAATGACCGCACTAGGATCCTGTATACGTGTTCCGGCGACACAGCATACATCAATGGTAAGAGATTCTCGGGTTTTAGCCAAGGAGGCCTGCTGACCAATTTGACATAGTGTGTGCAATTTGAAGGCTTCAATGTGTAGTTTGGAGCGAGGTTTCAGTAGACCTGGGACAGTGTTTTGCGCACTAGAGTCGTTGGCTATGATGACACATGAGGAGGAAGCCAAAAGAGGAAGTTTAGAGTTGGAAATCGGTATAAGATGAATAATAGGAATTGAAGAGGAGGATTGATTATGAATACAGTGATCTTTGGCGCTGATAGAGGTATGAGGGTAATCATCACTTCGCGGTTGCCCCCAAATGCCCTGATATGGCCGAGAGTGGGGTGGGCCCTCTCTCTTTCGAAATGCTCTCACACGGCCACGCGTATACAGCCTCTGCCAGGGAAGTCCTACTCACTGCCTTCTCGTAGCGGGGGTGTTGTTAACGAAATTGAGAGGACGGAAAACGAATGTCCGGCGCTTTAACCGTATTCCAAACCAATGGTGCACATGGGCTCCAGTATCCTGAAGGAACAAATGGCGTAGGAACCAATCGTTGGTCACCGGCTACCATGGGACTGCATCTCCTTACGGTGCTC